TTTTTTTTTTTTTTTAGAAAATACTAGTGTATTATATGAATATGTATGTGTTAATTAATTATTAAATAAATTGTACTGAGTATATAAGTAAAACTTTGATATTAGCTGCTTATTCACCTGTTATGATTGAGAATGATTAATTTCCTTTTCTTGTTTTCTATACGATATTAATCTATAAGTTATAAGTTACTTTGTGAACTGTTTCGATACATATTTGATCAACTTGTGTTATGTTATGTTATGCTTTGCTAGATTTCTAGTAATAAATTCTTGTTATAGTTGTTTGATGATTGATTGATGTAAGGCTAGGACGATCAGAAATACATATCTATCGATCTTACTGTCAAACTAAAGACAACCTTGAATGATTTTTGAAACTAATACGGTTTTCTATTCTTACAAAAAAATAAAAAAAATGATATATTAGTCAACGAATTAAAAGATGATTACAGAAAAAAAAAACTTTAATAGAGTTTCTATACTTAAAATCATATATAACTCCAATAACAATTAATTTATTGTGACAAATGATGGTTTGTTTCTACTATTCAACTGCTTTGAACTTTTGTAACATTTAAGGCTTGTAAGATCATATTTGCTCGAAGAAAGAGAAAAATGGGAGAGGAAGAATAAAAAAAAAAAGAAAAAGAAAAAGTATTTTTAATGTCATAGACGTCAGACACGTCATCAAGACATTTTATCATAAAAAGTGAATATTAGATTTCTTCATTCCATTTCCTATAACAGTTTTCGAATTGATAAATCAGAAATATCCGAAATGATCATATTTAAACCGGCATTAAAGTGAAGTACGTTTGAATATTTGAATATCATTAGCGAATAAAAATAGACTTTGATAAAATGTATTTTATTTAAAAATAAAATATTTAAATTATTTGGTTTAAAAGTATTTTTTATCTATAAAAATTCGAATGATAAAAGTTATTGTGAATATTTTCGAAAATTATTTATTATTAATTCAATTGTCTGAAAATATTCAATATTTTATTTATTTTTTTTTTCTTATGAACAGTATTATAAATGAAAAAAATTCCACAAATAAAATTTTCTAGAAAATAGTTTAATTTCATATTCTATTTATAAATATATATACATACATATATTTTTTTTATCGTTTGAAATTGTATCAAGAAAATTATTTTAAAAATAGAACTGAAGATTTAAAATTTTAGTTTATTCGTAATTTTATATATCGGCGAGAATTTTTTCTTTTTTAAATTTTATTTTTAAACGTTTCATAATAAATACTCTGGACGATTAATTTTAGAAGGTAACATATAATTTCTTTAAATCTGAAATATTGAATTTTAAATATTATTTTTACTTTTCAGCATAGAATAAATTAGTTTTCTTCGGTACGTGCGTAATATATATATATATATATTTATTTATTTATTTGGAGACAAAACGATATTAAATTTAATACATTTTATATGTTTTTAGATATTACGCTGGTAATTTTTATATTTGCCAAATATTTTCTCTTTTCCTCTATTTAAATTTTCCTTCTGTAGTAAACCTCTATTAAATTAAATAAAATTTTATTGCTTAAAAGCAAAAACGATTTATGCTGGGGGAATTTATTTATGAAAATTGCACTTTCCATTTTCGTTAAATATATTAACGGTCGATAGATGGCGCAATGCGACGTATTTCGACGCAAAATGCATTTCCATCTGTCTACTTGCAAATGCTCTACATTTACTAATCAATACAGAAGCGGAATACATCGTAAAACAAAAGCGAGCCGTATAGAAAATTTTTAACTTACGCTTAAATAATGCATCCCGATTTATTCGCAAGATATATATATATATATATATTCATTTATTCAACTAATCGATTTTCATGTACTGTACTGTACTTTTAAAAATTAATTAATTTCAGTTTTAGTGCGCGAAAAACCCCGCGCAGTCGCTCGCGCGCGCGCGAGCGACTCGTTTTATTATTTTATAATTCGATTTAATCAAAAATGGTTTTTGGTTCGATAACAGTTCGAACCGTTTCTTAAATCTAAAAGGAACCCGCTTCTTTTTCTTTTTGGCACTTCGCCAATTTGGCAATGTCCATCGCAACGCCATTGCAGCACGGGCATCAAGACATGTATTAGTACAGGTAGATGTAATTACGGGAAAAAATTTTTTTTTCCTCCCTTCTTCTTCTTTTCCGCGCCTGTTTCGCGCCCCTCGAGTGTCGCCTACAATGTTACGTGCAGACCTGTGTGGTACTGGTTTACTTACCTGTATGTCTGCTTCTTTCCCTCGCCTCAAGATGTCAGATGATGACAGACTTTCTTTGACAACGGCCGTGAGTGACGACGACGATGGAGATGCCAGAAATTGTCCTTACAGATCCAGATCTGGTGCTGCTGCTGCATCTTTCAACTGTACGGGAGCTGTGAGAAAAGCCGGGTGAGTACGGTTTTAAGAAATTGTGTGTATCGATATGTCGGTCGGACTCGATGTCCGCTTGTTGTTTCAAGGTCACGAGTAGTCTTGATTTTCTAGCCTTTGTTGTTTGCTGTAACCGAAAAGGCTTTATTAAGGCTGAAACGAAGCCGTTTACCAGTTTTTTTTTTTTTTGTTTTTCTTTTTTACGTTAATATTTAATGATCTTTAATTTTTATACAGTCCGTAATGCCCGCCTTAGAAAATATTTAAATTCTTCCAATTAATCAATTTCAAACAATGTAATATAAAAATCAACAGATCAGCTGTTCGTTTCTGTTGTATATTTTATATTAGTTAAGCTATAATAATGCATACTGTTAAGAATTTAAATTTAAAGGTGTTACAAAGCCTGATAGTAAAAACTATAAGTTATGAATAATTAAATTTAGAGATGTTTAAAATTAATTTTTCTTGTATAATTCGAAAATTTAACTAACTGGTTTAATTCATAAGCTTATACATTTTGTTAATTATGTGCTCTGTTAGAGAAATGTTTTATTAAGATTTATAAGATGGAATTAATTAATTCCAAACTGATAAGTTTGGAATTAATTAATTCCATTTAATGTAATACATCTTATCTGTTATATAATACAAAATAATTGTCTGTATTGATCAATTTTATTTAAACGCTTATATATTTAGTATCAAAGAAAGTAGTAATAGTTACTAAATAAATTTAATATATTAAATCTTTTCAAATTAGATATTATAAATATTTTTAAAGTATGTATAAACAAATATCTTAAAATAGTTGTTAACAAACCTAACAAATTATTATAACTTTTAAAATAAAATTAGTTTTTTTTTTTTTCTTAGTTAAAAGTGACCTTAAACTTTTATTGATAATAGTTATTTACTTTATATAATTTTTAAATATCTCATTAAATCAAACTGTATTTTTAATATTTTAAAAAATATTTATAAAAGTTTATTAATATTAAAATAACATAATACTTGAACTATAAGTTATAAATCATATAAATATGATTTTAAAATGTTTTAAAAATTAATCTGTATTTTAAGATGTAAAGGTATTGAAATTATTTTTTCGGTTAGATGAATTATCGCACTACTATTATACAGTAATTTATTTAGTTTAAATTACTTTGATAAGATCAAATTAATTTTCTTTTTGGTTTTTCTTTTAAAAGATTTCTCAGTGTTAAAAAGTGGTTGTTAAGGAAGAGACAGCAAGTGGAGTTAGCACGTAAACGAGGTTGGAAAGGGTATTGGGTATGCCTAAAGGGTACTACACTTCTATTCTATCCATGTGATAATAGAGATGGACGTGCCATTGACAGTACTCCAAAGCATCTTATTATTGTTGATGGTGCTATTATGCAGCCCATACCAGAACATCCAAAAAGAGATTATATTTTTTGTTTAAGCACTGCATTTGGAGATGCCTATTTATTTCAGGTAATTAGTACTTTTTTCATATTATATTCATTCTATTATGTAAATAATAAATACAGTTTAAATAAAACCAAACCTTTGTACATTTATAAGAGTTTAGATTTTAATTAATATTTTTTTTATTTCAAACTGAATTTATTTTATTTTTTATATTAATTATAAACTGTTTCTTGTATATTAAATATTAAAACTGAACTTCAGTTGAATTAAATAAAAATTTACTAGTGATAAAATTTATAATATTAAATAGACTTTCTTGGCAACAAAAAAGGTGTTTGGTTATTGTCTAAATCAGAGGTGTCCAACCTTTTTGTTTCTCTGGGCCCACATTGGAAGAAGTCATGGAGTTTTGGGCCACTAGTATATTATATATACGTGTGGCCTAAGTGTATTTTGGCCCAATCCTTCAATATACAAGTATATTTAAGGATTAACATGTCTAGGTTATAGTANTAAGCTTATACATTTTGTTAATTATGTGCTCTGTTAGAGAAATGTTTTATTAAGATTTATAAGATGGAATTAATTAATTCCAAACTGATAAGTTTGGAATTAATTAATTCCATTTAATGTAATACATCTTATCTGTTATATAATACAAAATAATTGTCTGTATTGATCAATTTTATTTAAACGCTTATATATTTAGTATCAAAGAAAGTAGTAATAGTTACTAAATAAATTTAATATATTAAATCTTTTCAAATTAGATATTATAAATATTTTTAAAGTATGTATAAACAAATATCTTAAAATAGTTGTTAACAAACCTAACAAATTATTATAACTTTTAAAATAAAATTAGTTTTTTTTTTTTTCTTAGTTAAAAGTGACCTTAAACTTTTATTGATAATAGTTATTTACTTTATATAATTTTTAAATATCTCATTAAATCAAACTGTATTTTTAATATTTTAAAAAATATTTATAAAAGTTTATTAATATTAAAATAACATAATACTTGAACTATAAGTTATAAATCATATAAATATGATTTTAAAATGTTTTAAAAATTAATCTGTATTTTAAGATGTAAAGGTATTGAAATTATTTTTTCGGTTAGATGAATTATCGCACTACTATTATACAGTAATTTATTTAGTTTAAATTACTTTGATAAGATCAAATTAATTTTCTTTTTGGTTTTTCTTTTAAAAGATTTCTCAGTGTTAAAAAGTGGTTGTTAAGGAAGAGACAGCAAGTGGAGTTAGCACGTAAACGAGGTTGGAAAGGGTATTGGGTATGCCTAAAGGGTACTACACTTCTATTCTATCCATGTGATAATAGAGATGGACGTGCCATTGACAGTACTCCAAAGCATCTTATTATTGTTGATGGTGCTATTATGCAGCCCATACCAGAACATCCAAAAAGAGATTATATTTTTTGTTTAAGCACTGCATTTGGAGATGCCTATTTATTTCAGGTAATTAGTACTTTTTTCATATTATATTCATTCTATTATGTAAATAATAAATACAGTTTAAATAAAACCAAACCTTTGTACATTTATAAGAGTTTAGATTTTAATTAATATTTTTTTTATTTCAAACTGAATTTATTTTATTTTTTATATTAATTATAAACTGTTTCTTGTATATTAAATATTAAAACTGAACTTCAGTTGAATTAAATAAAAATTTACTAGTGATAAAATTTATAATATTAAATAGACTTTCTTGGCAACAAAAAAGGTGTTTGGTTATTGTCTAAATCAGAGGTGTCCAACCTTTTTGTTTCTCTGGGCCCACATTGGAAGAAGTCATGGAGTTTTGGGCCACTAGTATATTATATATACGTGTGGCCTAAGTGTATTTTGGCCCAATCCTTCAATATACAAGTATATTTAAGGATTAACATGTCTAGATTATAGTAATAAGTATTAAAACTTTATTACAAAAAAGGTAATTTTAAAAAATTACTTCTACAGACACTTTCAGTTTTTACTTAGAAATAGATAAATTCATTTATTATAAAGGAGACAAACAAAAATTTATTTGAAAAACACAAATATTTGTTTTATTTGGGTCTCTAATTAATAAAAAACGACGAAACACCATTTTAAAGTGCATTTTTATTCAACTAATATATTTATAAATAATATGTAGCCCAAAAAGTAGCCAATGTGCCAAATGATATTTTTTACATCAAACTAATAAAAGGGTAGCCAAATTTGGCGCAAAGTAGCCAAATCTTGCAACGCTGGAAGGAATACTAAATAAAGCTGGAGTTGGAACTCAAAGGAGTATAGACTCGAATTTGGAGAAAGGAGAGAGAGGCCAAAAGATAAAAAAATAATGAGAAAGATTGGAAAATTAAGGGTCAATATTTGCATAACAGAAGGTCTATTTAACCTTTTTCACTATTTTTTATCTTTTGGCCTTTCTCTCCTTTTCTCAAATTTGAGTCTTATACTCCTTTGAGTCACAACTCCAGCTTTATTTAGTATATCTTCCTCATTCACACATTTCCAAGTATTTGAAAATATTTCCTTTTCACTCAAAAATTAATTATGTATAAAGGTTTATGGCTTTGTGAAACTTCTTTTTTGAGTTTATGCCGTTGAAATAAATAAATAAATTTGTCGGTTTTATTTAAATGTTTATTGGGCCGCATTGGAACTTGCCTTGGGCCACGGGTTGGACACCCCTGGTCTAAACTTTATAATAATAATTCCAAAATTGTCTGAGTTGTAAACATATTTACATAAGAAATATAATAATAAATTCTATCTCAGATTCTTTCTTTGTCATTTTTTATTTATTTATTAATATATTTGAATCCTATTGCAGACATTAATATTGGTTCATTTTAAAAAAATAAAGACAACGTCTTACAATAAATTGAGATTTAAGTCAAGTTTATATCATTTTATTAAAATTGAATAATATTTTTTGAAAATTACAGAAATTATTTCAAAAATTAAATAATTTTTTAAAGTTAATTTTAATAAAATGCATTAAACAATGCAGAATTCTAAATAATTGAAATATAATTTAATAATTTTTTAAGATTATTAAATTATATTTTAATTATTTCTTATCTGAAATGTTAATTTATTTTTTTTATAATTTTTGTTAATGAAATTGGAATTAAATTGCATTTTAATAAAAAAAAAATTGATAAATTTTTAAAATAAATAATTTAATAAAATAATTTTAATGAAATTTAACAACATTATATAAATTATAAATATTTTAGGCTCCATGTCAGGTAGAATTAGAAAACTGGATAAACAGTATTCATTCTGCTTGCGCTGCAGCTTTTGCAAGACATCGTGGTAAAACGGGTACTTTGCATCTTCTGCAAGAAGAAATATTTCGTCTTGAAAAAGAAATTGAATCAGTATGTATCTTTTAATTTATTTTAGCCTGAAATTTTGTTTATTAAACATATTTTTTTTTGCTTAAAAATAAACAAAACACAGGATACCTGAAATAAGTCAGGTGTTTAATTTATTGCTTATTACGTAAAATCAAATTATATATCTCATATACTTTATCTGGGTAACAAAGATCACTTAGGTTGATCAGAATATTAAAAATAAAATTGAGAAATAAAAGATGAATTTTAAAATTGTAAAATTCAGTATTGTTTTCATAATTTAAACGAAATTTGAGCTTCCAATTATAAAAATTAAATGATTATAAAATTCAGTAATATAATTTTATAAGTCACTTAATAAATCAAGTAGTTTATATTAATTATAGTAACATTTTCACATCAATATGGAAATGACTTTTATATGATTAGCATGTTATTAATTTCTAACATCTACAAAATAATAATTGCTTATGACTCAAATCTCAAATCTATGAATAAGAAATATAAGATATAACAATTTGATTATAATTTTGCATAACTTTGAATCAGCTATTGATATAAGCATTTAGAAGATTATGCTGATATCTTGTTTCCAAATAAGAATATATAGTATATAATCATTAACAACAATTTGATTTTGTTTTACTAAAATCAAAACACATCAAAAGTGCTTGATATAAAAATCTGACGTTTCAATGTGTTTTCGTTTTAGTTAAATCCAGGCTTATGGTTGTTATTGTTAGTCAATTTATTTTACTATTTATATTCTGATATTCTATTGTTTGATTTTAATACACAATTTATTAATACAAGTTTGTTATCTAAGAAAAGATACAGAAATAAAATACATCTGTAAGTAATATATTAAATCTCTGACTTTATTATTTTACATTTACTTCAGGCATTCTGTGTTTTATATCTATTTATGCCAGTTGTATTATGAAGATTTTTTTGAGAATGTGACATTTGAAAAATTACCAGAAACTTATTTCTTGTGTATGTTTTATAAAAAAAAAACTTTCTCTTTTTAAAATATAATATTTATTTTTAAAATTAGTTTATTTTATATAATTGTAGGATTTTAAAATGAAACATATGGCAGAACTGCAATTGACAGTAGTTGCAGATGCAGATAGTAAACAGACATTAACAAATCAAATTAATCAATTGGAAGAAAATTTAGAACGTTTACATTGTGAACAATTTCGTTTGCGTTGTTATATGTCTTCCCTTCAGAATGCAGAATTACCAAATCCTAAGGTAATTATTTATTCAATAAAAATTCTTAAAAGTAAATAAATAAATTAACATAATAATTTGAATTATAATTTTAATTAATTCTCACAATCAAAAAATTTTTTATGAATAGTTTATATTTTTAGTATGTAATTATTAATAGATTAAAGATGATAATATATTTAACTTATTTACTAATCTATTTCATTTTTTTAAAACAATGAGATGTAATGGAAGAGGATAGTAATGACAACAGAAATGTAAATTTATAAAATATATATGTAGCATGAAGAACTATAGTTTTGTGTTCACTTTTTTTTATTTATTTCTTTTTCCTCTCTACTAAATAAAAAGAATAACACACATTGTATCCCAAAAAAAAGATATAGTAGGACATATATTATAAATTTTAGCATATTACAATTATATATACTGTTTATTTGATTTTTATCTATTTTACTTAATTTGTAGTTATAAGAAAATTTGGGATAGTTATAATTCTAGTACGTTAAACTATAATGTAGAATTACATTTTATGTGTATAATTTGCTTTCTTGTATTTTTTGTATTTTCTTTCAAGGTTAACGTCAAAAATAGAAAGAATGAGTGTTTTATTCAAAAATTCCTAATAATTTATTGATTGCTCATTAATTGCTGTTGCATTTAAACATAAATAATTTAAATGGTATAATTATAGTTTATATTTGAAAATTTTATATATTTATTCCAAACAAGTTATTTAATTGAATATCCTCTACAGTTAAAACAGCATATATTAAAGCATTTATAAAAGTGCTAAAAAAATTAGTAATTTCCAAGCACATTACCCATCATGGCAGACACATGATGCAGTTTGTTACATTGTTTTATTTTGCAGTATGAGTTATCATGTTGCTTGTTTTGCTTCACTATTTGCAGTGTCAAAGCACACAACTTTGTACTTAGCCATTTTGCATGGTTTTAATTTAAAGAACTTTATGTAAATTGGTAATTACATTTACAGTAACAATAATTTTTAAATTAATTCATAAATACAAATTTAGAACTAAATTAGCCACCTTTATAAAATAAATAAAACCCACAAAAAATAAAATAAAATAATTTATTTACAAAAAATGTTTGGAAAGAAAATGAAATTACTTTTCTGCAAGATATGAGGAAATGGAGGTTAATTTCTTTACTTTTAATTTCAATAAGAAATTCACAGAAATACCTTTGACACACTTGTTCTACAAAGAAAAAAAAAATTAAATTGAAAAATTCATAACATAAACAGTTATGTAAATAAATAAGTTATTACATTTAAAAAAAAAAATTGAAAGTTATAAACAAATTATTTAAATTTACTTGCCTTAATGTCCTTAACTCATACTTTATTTATTCTAAAATTGTCAAAAAAACTACTACGGGTGAAAAAATAAATATTTTTTGATTTTCTGATTAAGAACTCCTTTTTTTGTTAATAGCCAATACACCAGTGTAATAGTCCTATTAATTCAATAAGTCCATGTTGACAATTTTAGAATAAAAGTATAAACAAATTGTTTCCAGTATCTTTTTAAAATGTTAACATTTGATGGCTTTTTCTCTTATGGCAAAATTTCCTATTTATGAAAGAATTCCAAAGCACTTTCTTTTACTCTGATTTCATCATAAAAATTTCTGACAAACATGAAACTAAACCTTATTGATAAAAAGCAAAGTTCTTGGAAAGTATATTTATGCTAAATAAAATTTTTCTTAAAAGTTTAAAAATTTTCTTAATGAACGTTGATTCAAAAAATTATTCAAAGTAAAAACAACATAAAATTAAAAGAACAGATAAATTCCTACCTTATTAATGGTTTAAAGAGAGTAGAACAAATAGAAATACATAAATGCATTTCTAATAGATTCATTTTTCATTAAACACAATCTTAAACAGGTTGTCACACAAAACTAATTTCCATAAACAATTGTACTTTGGGAATCTTGCATGTGCGGCTTACTCTATTTTTACATTTCAACTAATCTTTTAATAAGAACATAGACTAAGTTAAGGGGGGAAAGAAAAACTTTTTTACATGTGGTCTACAGAAAAGTAAACCTTTAGGTACTTTCTTAATTTTTATCCAAATTACATAAATTTCTCATTCTTTTATAAGGTTGTATACATAAAACATAGGTAATTTCCAAAAAAATTAAGGTTTCTTGTTAAATTAAGATTATCTATACTTTACCCACAATTAAAACATTCTTCATTAACAATTCTACCCAATTTACACACACACTTAATGCTATCTAAACAATGCTTTATTCTAATGGAACATAACATAATGAATTACAGCAGTTTGCCTTCTGCATGTAGACTTATCAAAATAGATTGCAAACTATAAATTTACATACTATTACATACTACAAACAAACATATGTATCATTATTTTGGGTTGTATAGGAGATATATTTCAATCCAATCAGATTATCCCATGTAATCTGATAAATATAACTACTTACAAGTGCATGTAATGCTGTTATATCACATAACAGACCTGTTTTTTTTTCCTTAACATAGCCTTACATTCTATTTTCTGAAACATTCCTATAGCTCTCTTGGGTCACAAAACAAACTTGCATTAGTTTGTTTACATAGCTTGCTATTAACTTACAGAGTACAAATATATCAAACTGTACTGACTAGTGAATAGCTCATTAAATTTACCAGCTTTTTTATGTGCAGTCATTCTCAATATTTTCTCCCTTGACCTAGGCAGACGGGCAGAGATTGTTTTGTCATGGTCACATGATGGCACTGTTATAATCACATTATATTACCTGAGAATCACACCTATGCAATCAGACCAACAAAAAAACAGGATTAATCCCTTTCATTGTAAAGTTAACAGCCTCATCAAAATTGTAGTTCCTATTTCAGTTTTGTCAGGGTCACACAATGTTACTGTTATGATCTCATTATATTATAAAAAGAAACCAAACTTGTTCAAACTACAATAAAAATTTTTTTGCCAGTTTATTTGCAAAATCAACACTACTCAAAAAAAATCTACCCTCCATTTTTTATTAAATAAACCCCCAAAAAAAGCCCCTGTTTGTGACCTCCTATCATAAAAATTATAAGTTATCTTAAGTTTGTGGTATATCAGTATACCACAAGCTCATAAAGAAATTGCTGTTGACTCATAATTATACAAAAAGATTTCATCATGAACAAAACAACAAAGTGAGGCACTGGTATGAGTCATTACAAATGATCTTTGTGTTGAATGTTAAACATAATGGATAATGTAATTAGAGATTACAAAAAAATTTTCTGGCTTCTATATTTGAATCTATTTTTTATGATGATATGTTATACAATTATTGTTTACTTCTGTAGTTAGTGCTGGATTAAACCTCTAGCAGACCCTAGACAAAATTTAAATTGGGGACCCATTTAAATAAGTTGCTTCTAAAGAAATCTGAAATAATGTCACTTAAAATTTTTATTTATAATAGAGAATACAAACACTGATACATAAGAGTTTCTGGTATAACAATATATTTANATATATAAAGATATATAATTATAGTCATTAATCAACCTTTAAAAACTTTAAATTTTTTGTTTTCAGATTTTTATTTCAGAAAATTTTTAAAAATTTATTATGATTACTTTTTGTTTAGTTATTTTCTGTACTGAAGCCAGAGGGGCCTTCCAGATTACAGACGCTAGACATTTGTCTTATTTGTTTATTGGTTAATCCGGCACTCTCTGTAGTTTATTAGACATGCTTAAAGAATAATGTGAAAATTAACTAGAAAAACATAAACCATAAATATTAATGTAACTAATTTAACTAACTAAATATAGTTTTGAACTTTTTGAATTAAAATTTTTGTTGTCTGAATTGACAACAATTTATCTACAGAATAGCTGTATATCATTAAAATCTTGTTTTAATGAAAATATTGTTGAAGTAATTGTGATGTATTATTTGTATATGCAAAAGAAATTTTGTTTACATTTTTATTTGGAAGATTTATAAAGCTATAATTAATATTAAAACTTTACAAACATTTTATGGGATTAAAAGCATAAGTAAATAAATAAGTATAAAAATGAGACTAACTCTTTTAAATATCACTATTGAAATAAAGAATAGAAATGAAACAAATTTAATGCAGATATTTACTTGAAAATCCATACATTAATTTGAGATTTTCTATGTAGATATTATAATCTTTATATAATATTTTTGTTGTTGATATATTATTTAAATTTCACTGTTCTTGATAAAAGAATATATTTAAGATAAATGATTAAATTTTAATTTGGACAAGACTTTATGAGATTTTCAAAAAAAAAAAAGTATTTATGTAATAAATTTTTTCAACACTTTCTAAAATATTAGTATGCATAAAACAAGAAAATTTTTAACTTAACAAAAATAAATTAGACTTGAAACATTGAATACAAGCATCATATAATAATTCCATCAGATATTTTAAAAACACGTTACTTCAAGAAATAAGATTACTTTTTAATAGAGGAAAAAAAATTGGTTACATTTTTTGAAAACATTTTATCTTTTAATATCTCATAATATAGGAATATATGAAATATTGATTATAAGGATTCTGTATATTAGACCAGTAGGAAAGGATGTATAGATCTGATGTTGAAATGATATAGATAAAACACAGATGTTTTAAAACTACTTTGTTTTACATCTGTATTATTTCACTTTTATTTATTCTGCATCAGCTTTAACTAAAATAATTCAATGCTGTTTGAGAAAATAAGAGCTTTAAATTGAAATCTTAAACATTTAAGATTAAACAAAAAAAAAATTGAGATTAACATGGATTCTTAAAGTAAATGTTTAACATTTAGGGCATTGATAATATCAAAGACTAATTAAAATAATTTGTAAAGATATAATAATTTATCACATACATTTGTCCTTTTGAAATGTTTGGAATTTCCTCTGAAAATCACTTAAAATGGTTGACTGTTTCTGAATTTATTTAGAAAATGTTTCAAGATCATTTGAATTTATCTTCATATTTTTGGAAGATGAAACAATTTATTTTGCATGATTATATTGTCTTAAAATCAATAGATGAAACAATGAAATTGTTTTAAAGATTATAATAAAAATTAACTGTAAATAGTATATAGTTTATAAATATAAATAATGAGAGAATTCTAATTTATTTTAAATATTTTCTTTTATTCCAGAATTTATTAACTCATGTTTCTAAAACAACTAAAAATACACTAAATAAGTTAGGTGTATTTACTGTATCATCTTTCCATGCTTACGTTTGTGCCCGCAGTCCTTCACTTTTAACTAATTTATTATCTGGTCGTGGAGCAACTAAACGCAGAGCTAGAGCATCTTTATCTAGATCAAACAGCGGAAAGTGAGTCTTTAAAATATAATTATTTCTTTATTACTTATAAATTGATTCTGTTAGTATGAATTATTTGTAGATTTATTATATCTTACTTTTTATAACATTTTATATATATTGTGTATATTATAGGCAGTCAATGACGCATTTATTGACTTCAAGTCATAGTACTGAACTTCCCATTGTAGGAGGACGAACTATAAAAGTTATGCTACCTGATAACCAGGTTAATATTTTTTAATAAAATCAATATATAATTTTTATTTTGTTTAAATTATTTTGTAAAGTTGTTATTATTTATGTATTTTGTTGTAATTTTGTTAATAGCATAAATTGACAAATTATAATAAACTTTTTACATTTTTGACAAGACTATGTCTTGTTTATAAAATTGCAGTGCTGTCCTGGCTTACCAGCTTAGAGGTATGAGGAAGTACATCTCAGGAGTTGCAATTTGGCACAGAGTATTAAGTGCCCAAATCATGTGCTCATAAAAAAAACCAGACTTGTAGGTACAGTGGAACCTCGGTATATGACCTTAATCCGTTCCTGATGTTCGGACTTATACCGAATTGGATGTATACCAAATCAACCTTTCCCATAAGAAGTAATGTAAAAATGATTAATCCGTTCTCATGAAAAAATGGCTGGCTTTAAACACCTTGCTTTCCTGCTTGATTTTCCATGAGATCAGCATGTATCTTTTTACTTTCTCGCAAATAATTGCTTCTCTAGCTCTCTAGCTCTCTTGCTGTCTCTAGCACACTGTTCTTCAGTTATCCAAAGCAAAAGCAATTTCTTAACATGGTTTAATGTCTTCGATCTCTGTTTAGAAATTAATTTAACCCCTTTCGCAATGTTAGCAGATTTAATAATGTCTTTATTTTTCACGATTGTCAATATCGTTGTTCTCGGAATACGGTATGCAACAGTTAAAATCTCGAACACACGTGCCACATTCATATTTCTCAACAGTCTTTTTTTTTCAGTTCCATTGTGACTCTAGTCATTTTTTTAGTTTTCTGTTGCTTTTCATTTGCCTTTTTGCAATTCATGATTAATAAAAATAATAAAATTTTACTTACAAATTAAAATCAGAAGAAATTTAACAGTTATAAACTGTGGTACTNTTGCCTTTTTGCAATTCATGATTAATAAAAATAATAAAATTTTACTTACAAATTAAAATCAGAAGAAATTTAACAGTTATAAACTGTGTTACTGCGAACGTCCAGTCTGGCCTAGTACACCAATAGTGCTACTTGTTCATAGATGGCACGTATAATTGAAGTCGTATACTGAACAAAAGTCGTATACCGAGCAAAATTTGTTTCGTCCAAACAGGACGTATTTCGAATTGGACGTTTTCTAAAGCAGATGTATACCGAGGTACCACTGTACTTGGAACAGGGTCAAAATAAAATACAAAATGGCAACACTCTTTCTACAAACAGGCACTAGTGCAAGATTGCACATGCATTGCTCATTGGGAAGTTGGAAATGCGAATGTTGCAAAATTGAATTTTGACAAATGAATCTTTGAAAAAACCTATTTTCTTGTCCCATGTTATTCCTGATGCATTTCTGATCATGACATGCTGACCTTGACCGGTTGACCCACGATATCTTGTTTAGCATTGGAATGTTTTTGAAAGTAGATGGCACTAGTCATTATAATTTTGTATTAAAACTAACTTCTGAAATATAATTTTTTTTCTTTTACATTTATTAATATATATATTGTTTGTGCAAAATAAAAAAATAATTTCGGATAATACAATAGCCACGATTATTTTTTCAAAAATGGGAAATATTCGTTAAGCATCGACAAAAATTCAACTCGGGCAACACGCAACGAAGAGAAATTTTGAATTGGATAGGTAATTCATCGTGGATGACGTCGTGGTCGTGGAAGTTTGAACAATCACGCTCAAAACCAGAGATAGCAAAGAAGATTGGGGAATGAGAATGAGACCTGCCTTGAGCATCAAAGTGATCCCACTTAGTAGCGAGTCACTGAGACATAGTCTTGTCCCAAATACAGCCTTACCATTTTACTTGTTAATTATATAATGGTTGTCCATAAAAAATCCACACAGAATATCTCAGGCTCTAGCTAATGGCCAAAAATTTTTAATTATGTTACACATTTTATAATTTGATAGTGCATGAAATACTATAGAACATTCTAGAATCTTTCTCTGCATTAGATTTTCTGCTGTTTTCAAAATGGCAAAGAAAGCTGATGCTTTATGCCTAAGAGTGTACAACTTTTACCTATTAAATAAAACATTAGGAAAAAGTCTATTGTAAAGCATTGTACAAATGAAGGAATTTCAAAACATACTATATATTGCATTCTGCAATGCTTTAAGAGTGAATTATAATTACAGAGAAGAAAGGGGTCTACTAGAAAAGCAAAAATTTTAACAAAAGCCAAGTTGGAAAGATTGAAGAGAACTCTTGAATACAGCAATAAGGTTTCAATTTGATCTACAGTCCTGAAACTAAAAGTTTCACATAATTGACTCTTTGAGGCTTTGAAATGAAAACACATTAATACTGAAAGCAGCAGATAATTCTGGAAAGAATGGACATGTAAAAATCACTGGCAAAGACAAAAGTGCTGAAGGTTATTAAGAAAGTTCTCTGGAAAGTTGTTCATTTTAGATGATAAACCTTACTTTACACTCTCACACTCAATAATCAATGGTAATGATGGATTTTATACCAGTGGTGTCTCCTCTATAACTCTCAATGTAAAGTTTTTCAAGAAAAAGAAATTTTAAGGCAAAGTTTCGGTTGGATTGCAATGGGACTGAAAAGACCGAGTCAAACCGTAACCAGAAAATTAAATTTTGCTATTAATGTCCAGCAATGTTTAAATGAAATATATATAATGTTTCCTGATTTACATTTGGAAGAATTTTTTCAAGCAGAACATCTTCTGGCCAGATCTAACAAATTTCTACTATGCCAAAACTGTAATGGATCATCTGTGACAAGAAAACATCATCTCTGTCAGAAAGCAGAATAACCCTAAAATATACCATAAATTAGGTCAATTGAGGATTGTTGGGCAATTTTCAAAATAGCCATTTATAAAAAGGGAATGAAAGGCATAAATATGGATCAGCTGATCAATTTCATAACATGTCTGAAAAATATGAACCAAAGTCTTGTAAAGAAACTGCATACCTGAAGTCAAATTAACCATGTTTGTTGATGTGGACTTGTAGAATTAGAAAAATAAAAGATAATATACAACTTTTCATCACCTTTGAAATGAGTGTTTAGTTAATAGTTTTTAACTTGAAAAAAGAAAACCCTATGTTACAAACTTGTGTGAATTTTTTCTGGACACCCATTATTGTATACACAAGTATATATTTTATCCTAAATGGATGAAATGTATAATTTTTATTTAAAGTACAGTTAAACCATTATTTTAAATTAATTGTCTTTTCTTATTTACATGATTTCATTAAATTATATTGAAGAAATGGAATTAAAAGAGTGTTTTACTTTAAATTAAAAATTATTGTATATTATTTTATTATTAGATAAAAAAATTACAAAACATTGTATAATAATCTGTGCTTTTACTTTAATATAATTTATATACTTATGTGAATTTCCACATGTGCTAACTTGTAAATATAAAATGAATTTTATAAATTTTGTTTTCTTTGCAAAATTAATTTTATTTATTTCTTCATTTTACATTTAAAAATTAAATGCATCTTATTTAATTTGTAGAGTGTGATAATAGGAGTTCGTGATGCTACAACTGTAGAAGAAGTTCTTTGGAGTTCTTGTAGCAAAAAACAGCTATCTGCAAATGATCATTTTTTACGTATAAAAAGGTGGAAAGATAAAGATGATTATTATGTGCCACCAAGGACAGAACTTTTGGAAAATTTAGTATGTAATATGTAATCATTTTCCTTTCTACTAACTGAATAATATAAAATAATTAACTTTTTTTTAAATTCCATTGATAAGTAAATTTTTATTATTTTAATTGTAATTTTTACAATAATCTATTAAAATTACTTTAAAACTTTATATTTAATATTTTAAATAAATGTAATATTGAAACTAAGAATAATTTATTTAATTAGACATATGAAACAATTGAAGTTTGTGCCAAAGTTCTCTATCAAGTGGAATTATCACGTCATACATTAGATCACTTGTTTGGATTCAGTGTAGAAGCAGAACTTGTAGAAAATGCTGATCATCAAGATGAATTGTGTGTATATGTCAGTAGAGTTGAAGAAAATAGTTTGGCTCATCAACAAGGTAATTTCATATTTTAAAATTTTATAATTGACTTCTTAATTTTTACTTTTTTCTATGAATTGTTAATGAAGATTTTTTTTAAAATGTATATTCACATAGAAAATAAATTTATATACAATGTTCATGGAAAAATTGAAACAATGAATTAAAAATAATTGTACTGTTAAATTTTTGTTAACTAAAAATATAAATATTCTTTTTTTTAATTTAATTTATTCACAGGATTAATGAAAGGAGATGAAATAATGGTGATCAATGGAGCAATAGTGAGTGATCTTGATATGATGTATATTGAAAGCGTTTTACAAGAAGAATTGTCACTATGTATGATGATGCGTACACCACGGATGGAGCCTCCAGATCTTGCAAGTGCCATGAAGACAACAGATGATTATATTGAATCTCTTGTCTGTCCTCCACCTCCTAGTGATAATGTTTTAAGTGAAGAAATGATTGGAAAATTAATTGTACCATCACCTCTGTGGGGTAAGAATAATTCTGTAAATTAAATTAGTTTATTATTATAATGAGCATACTAGTAAATGAAGAAATTGATACATATTTTTAATTTATTAAACTAGAATAGATTTAATATTAAAATAATTATATATTGATGAAAAAATATTTTATGTAAAAAGTTTTAAAATTATTTATTTTTTTCATTTTCTATGAAAGAAAATATGCTATGCAATTGTTAACATAAAAAGATCGATTCACGTATGTGTTAAAAATACATTTAAATAAAATTACTTTGTTTTTTCAAATTTTATGAAAATTTTTTTTAAAAAATTAAAAATTACAAAAGCAAACAAGTTATTAAAATTTATTTTTTTCCCTGCCCTGAGAATACTAAGAAGATTTTTTTAATCATTATGAGTTCAGAATTTTCAGATTTTTGAATCATTATGAGACAGACCCAAATGGGATGGGCTGGATGGCAAACAATGGCAAACAGGGTTCCTATGTACCTGAAAAGTCAAAGAAAATCAGGGATTTTCATTAGTGTTCAGAAAAGGTCATGGGAAAGTCAGGAAATTTGTTAAAAATTGTCAAAAAGTCGGGGAATTTGCTTCCTTGNAAATATGCTGATACTTTTATTGATTAAATATTTTTTAGATGATTTCATTGTTGGGCTGCAATTTGAAAAAATTGTAGACATGAATTCCCACTATCATCTGTTTGTCCATCTGTATGTCTTTCCTTAACCTTCAGAACAGAGTTAGATACATGAAAGATGAGACCAGATATGGAAAGCTTAGGGGAAGGAGGCCCTGATTAACTATATATGAATTTCCAATGCAAACCAGAAGTCATCATGTTTCAATTCAAAAATTTTCTCCTGAAAGGTGTTAGATAGCTGACTGGCACAACTCTATTGTTAAAGGAAAAGTATGATGTACAGGGGCAAGCCACTATTAATTTGACATGGAGAGCATATTTAAATTAAAAATATGATTGTCATAATGCCAGGCTGCAATTTTTAATGTCATAATAAATAATTGCTCATTCATGTTTTACTGTTGTGTTCTAAAATTTTATAAATGAATTGGTTCTAGTAGTTTTAACACTTAAATATATAAATATGAAAGGCCTTTAATAACTTAGATTTATTCTTTTGAGATGTTATTTGTGCTAATTTTTATTTTTATTCAAAAGAAAGTTTTTACATTAATGATCAATATAATTATTTTAAATATATTAATACCATTTTTTTTATGCCAACTGATAGAGCATCATTATTTAATATATTTTTTAATGCTATTCAACTTAAAATTAGTTTAGTTTATTTGTACCAAACTATTTGTAAATTGCTGTTCATAATAAATTCTCTTATTTAACTAAATCTTGGCATTTCTGCAGTAAATCTTATAGTATACAGTGGCTTCTTGAAAAATTTGAAGCTTCTTTCTATCTAAAAAAATGTCTATCTATTCTATTGCTAATACTGTATAAGAAATTCCCAGTTATTTCTAAAAAAGTGCAACTATTCTATGAATCTATTCCATCACAATTTATTTTAGTACTTGTATGTCATTAATATAAATTACAATGCTAAAACCTCTTCTATCCAGGCTTATTGACAAGACCATGTCTTGTTTATAAAATCGTACTGCCATTTTATGTTACCGGCATAGCGGTATGAAGGAGTACATGTCGAGAGTTAATATTTGGCACAGAGTATTAGGTGCCCAAATCATTTGCGCATAAAAAAAATCCAGACTTGTAGGTAGTCAGGGGACCGAGAACAGAGTCAAAATAAAATACAAAATGGTGACCCTCTTCTACAAACAGGCAAAACAGGCACCTCACCCCACCTTTAATTACTTTGTAAAATTGCATCTTAATAGTTAATCAGAATATATTTATTTATATTATTTTAAGAAATTTATCAGATTATAAATAAAATCAATTTTAAATAATAAGGATTTGAAGGAGTTTCAAATTATATTATACTTAGTATTGAAATTTATAACATATATATTTATTTAATAAATTAATGTCTTGAAATATGAAAAAGTTTTATATTTACTGAATGAATTAAATTTATTGTTTTTTATTCATGAAAGAATTTGAATATAGTGACTTCTATAAAGTATAAATTTATATACAATGTTCATGGAAAAATTGAAACAATGAATTAAAAATAATTGTACTGTTAAATTTTTGTTAACTGAAAATATAAATATTCTTTTTTTTAATTTAATTTATTCACAGGATTAATGAAAGGAGATGAAATAATGGTGATCAATGGAGCAATAGTGAGTGATCTTGATATGATGTATATTGAAAGCGTTTTACAAGAAGAATTGTCACTATGTATGATGATGCGTACACCACGGATGGAGCCTCCAGATCTTGCAAGTGCCATGAAGACAACAGATGATTATATTGAATCTCTTGTCTGTCCTCCACCTCCTAGTGATAATGTTTTAAGTGAAGAAATGATTGGAAAATTAATTGTACCATCACCTCTGTGGGGTAAGAATAATTCTGTAAATTAAATTAGTTTATTATTATAATGAGCATACTAGTAAATGAAGAAATTGATACATATTTTTAATTTATTAAACTAGAATAGATTTAATATTAAAATAATTATATATTGATGAAAAAATATTTTATGTAAAAAGTTTTAAAATTATTTATTTTTTTCATTTTCTATGAAAGAAAATATGCTATGCAATTGTTAACATAAAAAGATCGATTCACGTATGTGTTAAAAATACATTTAAATAAAATTACTTTGTTTTTTCAAATTTTATGAAAATTTTTTTTAAAAAATTAAAAATTACAAAAGCAAACAAGTTATTAAAATTTATTTTTTTCCCTGCCCTGAGAATACTAAGAAGATTTTTTTAATCATTATGAGTTCAGAATTTTCAGATTTTTGAATCATTATGAGACAGACCCAAATGGGATGGTCTGGATGGCAAACAATGGGATTTACAGGGTTCCTATGTACCTGAAAAGTCAAAGAAAATCAGGGATTTTCATTAGTGTTCAGAAAAGGTCATGGGAAAGTCAGGAAATTTGTTAAAAATTGTCAAAAAGTCGGGGAATTTGCTTCCTTGGTTGCCTTGTTGATTTTGTTTACTGACAGTATGGCTGACCAAGTGTAGCTGTCTTCAGGCAGCAAGAAGTATTGTGGTACAAAGGAACTTATGAAAAGGGAGTGAAGAATGTTTTCAGTGTGGTGGTGTGGAGAACAAATAAAGGATTACAAAGAAGTAACAATAAATTAAACAGGGTTTTATTTAGTTACGTTTCACGTGGTCCTTCTTACACCTGGTTCTTTTTCTCTTTACACACTTGATCCCAAACTATAGTAACCACATATGTTCAACACAATCCGACATATTCTTTATATTTTCACAGGGGGGAGGCATGTGTTCGCGACAATACAAGGTTATGGCTTGAGAGATATCTCTGCAATATTACAACTAACTTAAACTACCTTAACCTAGCTTACATACTAAGGAAGAAGAGTGAAAAATAAGATATACGAAGGGATAAGACAAGTATAAAGGAAAGATTGGTGGGGGTACCAGGTAATTCGACAGTCTCTGATCTTCTCTATGTTGGAACTTGCACTTAATTTCTTTCTCTCGGTTCCTTTCTGTACCGTTTCTTGAGGATTCAAAGTGTTCTCGAAGCCCTCAATCTGGGTGTCCGTCTCATTTGTCCATTCTCAGACGACTTCAAGTCTCTCCTTTGTCCCATTTGGCAACAAACTTCGATTTGTTCTTTTCTTTGTCTGCTCTCCTCGGACGCTGACCAGAAAGTGTCCTTTTCGTTTTCCTGATGCTCTCAGGGCTTCTTAGTATCCCTTTATTTTCTCCCTTCATCCTTGGACAAAGGTTGTCCCCCACCTGTAGAGAAGGAATAGGTTAGAAAGTTCTAGAAACAGACGTGAAAGACAAAAGATTTTAAAAGAAATAAAACTTATATCTAACCCCTATGTACAAAGACATGGCATACCGCCACATCAGGATCCAAAATTTCACCCAAACATACACAAAATTTCCCCAAAATTATAGCTCACAAAATGTACAAGCATACTACAATATCAATTGTTATTTTCAAATTTTAAAATATTTTTAGACTTTAAAACTGCTGTATTAATTATGCAGTATTATAAGTTTGAGAGAAAAATTTAATACTCTTAATAATCTAACATTGATAAAAATTTTTTGAAATATTTTAACTCTCCATCTCTCACAATTTACATTTTCAATTTGAGGGCAGGTGTTAATGAAAACTGATGAAAAAAATTATAACAAAGAACCAAACATGATAAATAATATCATTTGAATTAATATTAAGTTATTTATCATTTTTCATTTTAATAATTTTGATCACATAACAAAACAATTTTTGATTTCTGAAACCTTTTTCCCAGTTTATTACTATTTTTTAAAGTTTGAAAAAAGAAAAATGCCATTAATTATTATTAAAAATTTTTCCAAAGCCATGAAGTTTTAGTTATGAATTAATAACAGGATAAGTTATTTTTATTTAATAAAACATTTTAGTTTTATGTAGATAAGAAAGACAGAATTATGGCATTTCTTACTTTATTTTTAATTTTACTAATTCATCGATTATAAAAAAATATATAACTGCTAATTAGAAAAAAATAACCAGTTAAAAAGTTTGAAAAACAATAATATATGTGTGTAGTAAGTCAAGTGATGTTTTATTTTGTTAATGTGACATACTATAAGCCGTAAGGGATGTGAGGGTCAGGGAATTTGTAATTGGTCAGGAAAAGTCATGGAATTTAAAACAAAAATTTGAGTAGGAACCCTGGATTTAACATAGCTGAGACATCTGTGAAAAATTTCTGAGATCCCTGATCCAGATTTGAACTTGGGTTTGCTAGAACAGGTTGTTGACATATTTATTACTGTGGCTATCCAGCTATCAAATTTTTTTGGAGAAACTTGAAAAATACTAACATAATTTTAATAATCTATATTATTAAC